AAGTTATATAAAGTTGTTTGATAATTGTGTGAAGTTGTTCTTAGGATTTTGAAGAGAAATAAATTATATAATTAGTTATTAGGGTAAATGATAAAATTTAGAGTAAATATCTTTTTTGGTTCTCAGCAAATTTCACGATGCCTGCTTTAGTCCCTAGTAAATAAAAAGCTCCATTGTGGTCCCTAAATTCAAAATTGACCCATTTAATTAAAATTGTGGTCCCTCACAAATTCAAAAAGACTCATATTAGTCCCTCAAAAGGACTAAAATAGGTCCATTTTGAATTTTTTAGGGACCACGATAGGCCTTTTTATTTCCTTGGGACTAAAGCAGGCATCGTAAAATTTGTTGAGGACCAAAAAATGTATTTACTCTAAAATTTATAAATAAAAATTTAGAATAAGAGTATAATTAAAAAATAATTGTGAGAACTCTAAAAAACTGACATATATTTTTTAAAAAAAGTTTCCTTAGGGAGCTTTTAGTTTTTATCTTTTTTTTATTATAAAAAAGCTCTTTTTACTATAATAATTTGTGTAAAATTATATTTAACTAATCTTCGAAAAGATATTAAAAATAAGAACTCTCAAACACGCACCGAAACTTTCCATTTTTTTTTTCAACACACGCATCTTTAGTCATCAATAACCTCATGAACAGTTTAATAGAATAAGCAGAAAGCAAGGCAAGGTAACCTTTGGTGGTGATTATAAAATGACTACGTGAGCACAAGTCTTCCTTGCGTAGAGGAAAAGCACATATCAGACATGTCAAAAATTGACACCGGTAGATTGTACATGTTTATTTGTTCCCCGGTTATAAAGGTTCTTTCACACTATCAAACAAAACTTCACTAATCGCATGATCTGGTTTCTTTTCTTTTCCTGGCTATATAAGGATTGAAGAGCCATGGGGTTGCAAGTGCCAATACCTCAATGATAAAAAGGTAGCACAACACAGTAAAAACAATTGTCTTTAGATCAACTCAGTGCCGGCTAAAAGTGACCCCCCAACAACTTCATGACGAGGGAGCACATATCTTTTTAGCGAAGCGTTAGCGATGGCTTGTGAATCAGATATTAAGCCACCGTGTTATCCAAAATTATTGGTTTGTTGTTTACGTATATAATACAACCAATTAAGTTCCCACTTGTGCCTATTTATTTTTCTTATATTTGTCCTATTAAGTACTGGAATCTATAGTATTACTATATACTACTAAAATATTTATGGCATAGTTTCGTAGGGATGAAGTTGGTCAAATAATAGGACTAATGATCATAATAAAATAACCAAAAATATCAATAACCATTAACCGTAGCAATAAGAACTTCTTAAATTTCAGAGTTCGAGTTTTGAAAACAAAGGAAATGATATTAGAAAATTATCCCTAGTTTAGGTTTGATAGTACTTGAATCGGATTAAATCAATTTTGATAAAAAGAATAACGGAAAATAAGAAAGTTTAAAGAAACAGAACTTTTTTAAAATTATTAAATAATTTAACTGTTGTAGTTTTTTTCTTAAACAATTGAGAACCCTGTTAATTTGAAGATATAGAAGACAAATGCATCTAATATACTTTGTTGACACCAATATCTTCGTATAATTAGGGGGATTCAGAGCTTCAATTGTCTACCATATTCAACTCTTCTAACGATTTAAATCACTAATGGGTTGCCTTTAGAATTAATAATTTTCTTAGAAAAATATAAAAATTATTGATGGATATTTACTTACAAACTTGAGCTATTGGATGAAATAGTTATTTTATATGGTATTAAATCAATGTTATTAGAACCGGACCGGTCATTGACCCGGTCGAGGTACCGGGTCACTGGGTCAATGGTTCAACCGGTGGGTCACTGGTTGAACCGCATGAACCGGGTATATATATATAAATTTATATTTTATACTTAATTATATAATAAATATTTTAAATGGTGCAATTCAAACAATAACCTGATGTAGTCTAGTGGTAATTACTATATTGCCTATCCTCAATGTAAGGGGTTCGATTCCTCTTAGATGCAATTTTTGAAATAATTCTATTAACTTAATAGTTATATAATAAGTATATTAAATGGTGTATTATATTCAACAGGTAATGATAGTGTAGTGGTTTGAAGGTGCGCTCCTCACATCAAAGGGTCGGGTTCGATTCCCACCTGGCGCAAAAATTGGAATATTTTGTAACTTATTTTAAAAAACCGGTTTAAAGGTAAAACCGGTACCGGTTTACACCGGTTCAACCGCGGTTTATGACCGGGTCACCGGGTTGATACCGGGTCAAATGCTTAAACGGTCCAATATTGAAACCGGACCGGTTTCCGGGCCAACCGGTCCGACCGGCCGGGCCGGGCCGGTTTTAATAACACTGTATTAAATGTGATTATGAGATCAACAATTCATGCTTATCGCTCTCTATTTTTTAATGAAATTAAATCAACACAAAATATAAAAAAAAGAAAGGAGTCTATAAAATATTTATACTTCAACCTTTTTAAGGTATGTTAAAAAAATATAAAAATTATTAAATTATTATTTAAAAACTTAATTTTTTGGATTGAATTAGCTCTTCAATTGGATCAACGCATCTCGTAAGTTCTTTGATATTAAAGTGAAGGAGCACATCTTCCGTGCAACTGTTGTAGATACTATTGCCATTAAAAATTAAACATGTGTGTTTAAACAATGTTTTTGTCTTTTATATTTTTATTTTTTTTGGTACATTGCCAGGAGGTATCCCCATTCAACCTTCTCCGGACACCATGCCCTCGGGGTACGGCCCGTTTGGGCTAGCCCCTCATTTGTCTTTTAGGACCTGTTTGGTGTGATGTATAAGGCATGATAGTATAAGCTTATACTATACGTTATGACATTTTTAGTTGTTTGGTGTGACCATCGTATAGTATAAGCTTATACGGCATAATCCCTTAATACATCAAAACGATGTATAACTTAATCCGGCCTAAGAGTGAAGGATAAGGCCTGATAAGAAATTGATGTATTAACATCGTTGACCAATATAATTCTCAAAAATTAATATATTATTTTAATATTAATCTATTAAAATAAAAATTAATTTTTCAATATATTAATTTTTAAAATATTGAATATTTTTATTTTTTGGACACATCGATCAATAAATTTTTATAAAAATTAATATCATATAACATTTTTTGAAGAATTATATATATTCTTTATTAAAGGGTATTTTTACTAAAAATATTTATTTTTATCATATATAGTATTAAACAGTGCATTACCAAATATTAGATGATATTATCTTATACAATATATTATTTTATACAATACCGTGCCAAACGCTGGATAGTATTAAAATTCAATCAGGCCTTATACAATCAGGTCTTATATTATCAGGCCTTATCCTATACTATGCACCAAACATGCCCTTATATTTTACTGTGTGTGCTTAGGTGTTTAATTTTTATTGAATATAGATGTATATAAAATTGGGTGCAGCGGTAGTATATTAAAAATTTCCAAAGTGAAGGGTGCCAGTGAACAGACGGGGATGATGAACAATAGCATCTTATCCAAAAAAAAGAAAAGAAAAAAAACAATAGCACTTTTAATTTGGCGTTTTACACAAAAGAACCTTTTCTCTTGTCAGCGGCCCATCATTTCACCACACACCTGTGCAATTTTTTGACCAGATATGAGATAACATGTCACTGACAATGAGACTTTTATATGATCACTAAACTATTCTTTATGAGATTTTAATACAATAAAATTATAGAATAGATTATTCTATCTATTATTTTTTTATTTATTTTTATTTATTATTCTTTAATATTATTAGATTAGAATCTCAAGAAAAAATAAATAAATGTTAGTTAAAATTCTGATCTAACAATGATGAAGAATGATAAACAAAAATAGACAAATAATAATAATAAATAAAATAACATATTCCTAAAATCATATATAGAAAATAGACAGAAACTATACGCAACTAATTAATAATTGAGGTTCTGAAGTTTTTATTTTATGTCTATCTAACTTTTCAGATGACACAATATTATGAAAAGCTCATATAAAATGAACAAATTCCTCTTTTACACGTTATTTTATTGGTTGATTCAAAGAAGAAAAAAAGTAATTGGTGCGCAATAAATATGACACCATATTTCTTATGTATATCTTCATGCAAATGCAATACATTAATTGGAGCAAATATTTGATGGACTCGGCTCATGTGGACTAGATAGAGAGGGAGAGGCGAGAAGAGAGAGAAAGAAATCATACAATTAATTTTCCATTAATTGGTGGGAAACCCGAATTGTCAAGGTTATAGGTAGGTGAAGAAAAGAATTGATAATTAAACAAAGGGAAAACATTTTGTTGTTTTAAAGGATCTAAATTATGTATTTCCTTCTACTAAAAAAAAATTATGTATTTTCAAAAAAAAAATCTAAATTATGTCCTTTTACTCCCTTATAATTATGTATTTTGAAAAGTACATGGTTACAATATTAAAATCAATTATTTTTTTTACTTTTTACACCGGCCGACAGTTTCTGAAGCAAAAAAAAAATACAATTATAATATTATAACTATATATTTTCCACACTACATAATTATACGGGGCAAAATAATATAACTTAGATCTTTGAAAGCAAAAACTATTTTCCCTCAAACAAAAGTGGGAAAATCAATGCATTATGCATACAAAGGTGGGTCTCAAGTGTCTTAATACTTATCCTTCCTAGTTCCTAGCTTAACTAGCTATATATGCAATATTTTTAATGTTAATTTATCAGTATAGCTAGCTTCTTTTGTTTGCTTTCTTAATTGGCTTGCTTTATCCTTCTCGGACCTACCTTCTTATGATGGTTTTCCACGTACCGCCGTCTTTTCTTTCATCAACAAAATTCCTTTTTTGATTAATGATCTACCAAAATATCTCTCTCTCTCTCTTTCTCTATTATATATTGGGACAAAATTAAGTGCCAAAGTGCGCTAACAAATCAACAAAAGAAGATGGCAGATGAAAGCGTCAACCTTCCTCCTGGATTTCTCTTCTCTCCAACAGATGAAGAACTTGTTCTTCACTTTCTCTATTGTAAGGCTTCTCTTCTACCATACAATCCAAACATCATCCCCGATCTTGATCTGTCTCTGCATGTTCCTTGGGAATTAAATGGTATGCTTATGTTTCATCACTCAATTATTATTAGTCGTCTTCAATTTTTTACATAATATATACATAGAAAGTGACATAATTACCAATATACGTGGAATAGTGACCAAAGTGCCACTGTTGACAAAAATAAATATCAAAATGTCACGCCAACATTAAATTTTGCCAAAATGTCACGTGGCATATTTCATTATACTGTGTAGCGAAATATGTGTGCAAACAATTCGCTACACAGTGTAGTGAAATATGCCACGTCAGAATGCACAGAACCAAAAATGCCACGTGTGGCATTTTTGGTTCTGACGTGGCATATTTCGCTACACCGTGTAGCGAATTATTTGCACACATATTTCGCTACAAAGTGTAGCGAAATATGCCATCGCATTTTGACAAAATTTACTGTTAGCGTGATATTTTGGTATTTTTTTTTTGTCAACAGTGACAGAATAGTTACTGTTCCAATATATATGCTCATTGCATGCACGGATGAAACTCCAAATATGTTTAACATATAATGGCGAACCATATAATTTTGTGAACAGGGCGAAAGAAAGAAAATCCATATTAGGCCAACACTCTTATTGAGGGACAGTGACCAAAGTGTCATGTTTGAACAAAAAAATTATCAGACTGCCACGCTAACAGTAAATTTTGTCAAAATGCCACGCGGCATAATTCGCTACACAGTGTAGCGAATTATGCATGCAAGTAATTCGCTACCCAGTGTAGCAAAATATGCCACGTCATAATGTACATAAGGTATTTTGGCAAAATTTACTGTTGGCATTTTTGACATTTTGGCAAAATTTACATAAGGTAGCGAATTTCTCAAAATTTGACATGTGGCATTTTTGGTTTTGACGTGGCATATTTCGCTACACTATGTAACGAATTACTTGCATGCATAATTCGCTACACTGTGTAGCGAATTATGCCACGTGGCATTTTGGCAAAATTTACTGTTGGCGTGACAGTCTGGTAATTTTTTTATCCAAACGTGGCAAGATAGTCACTATTCTTATTATTGATGGGTCAATATGTAGATATGTTTAAAAAACTTTTTGATTGCTTATCAAAAAAAAAAACTTTTTGATTTTTTTTTATAAGTCGACTTTTACTATATCTTTAAAATGAGGTGGCATCCAAATATTACTATAAATTTTAATTTTTTTAAGTCAGTTATGAAATTAATTCCAAATTAAAGTTTAATCACATTTAAACTCATCACCTTTCCTCAAATATATATTTGATGGAAATCGAATCCGAAGAAAACTCAAAATTTAAAGGAGGTACACTTATGTTACTTTCTTTTTAAGTCTGAATGAGTATAAGACAAAGGTTTACATAAACTTGAGAGGGTGATCGTCCCTCCCAATTCCTCCCTAACTCTACCACCGTTAACATATTCAGGGAAGGCGTTGGCAAGTGGAAATCAATACTATTTCTTCACCAAAGTGAATGAAAACAGAGCCAGCACAGAAAATGGGTATTGGAAGGAAATAGGTGTCACGGAACCTATATTGTCAACCATTGACAAGAAAGTGGGAATCAAGAAGTACCTAATATTCCACATTGGCGAAGCTCCACAAGGTACTCAAACCAATTGGGTGATGCAAGAATATCATATTTGCTCCAATGAGTTTGACACTGCAACATATGTAAGCTGTAAGCTACTTTTATTTAGTTATCAAGCCCATTAAATAAATAAATAAACCTGGCAAATTGATGAACCTTATACTATATTTTCTCCCGTAAATGGTGCATGACAGGATCAAAGTTGGAGCAAGTGGGTTTTATGCAGAGTGTATGAAAAGAACTGGTCTCAACAAGGTGTAAACTTCTCTAGTGATGACGATGACAGTGGAACGGAGCTTTCTTTGCTTGATGAAGTTTATTTGTCGTTGGATGATGATCTGGAAGAAATAAGCATGCCTAATTAGATTGAATGTTATTAATATTATGTTACCACTTACCAATGCTAGCTAGATATAATGAAGTTCTTGCACCGTGTATCAAATACATGCATTTGAAGGGTAAATTATGGCCTCTGTTACATGCAGGATTACTGATGGCAAAAATCACGCTTATGCGGTCATTTGTTGGGATTAGCAAGAGGACGGGAATGGGCACCTGTTTCATATGTAGGGATTTGTCTCCTATTTATCTGTAAAGTTTTTTTAAAATAAATAAATATATTAAATATATTCCAAATGTAGGGATGGCAAAATTTTACAGCACTTAATCCCGTGATATTTTGATATGTATCTCTCATCGCATAGATTTTTTGGCAAATTATTTATTCATTTAATGTAAGTAAAATATGCATTGAGAGTGTGCACATTTAAATTGCTTATCACTCCATATACAACTTGTGCAAGAGTTAGAACAATACTAGATGTATATTCTACCCATGGGCAGCCAAAAGTCGTACACGCTCTTCATGCGCATTTTGCAAACCACAATATATGATAATATTGATTTTTGTACAAGTTGAGCATGAGAATAATGTGTGATTTAAATTTTAAACACACACATTCCATATGCGTGTTTCACTTGCATTATATTAGTAAATAGTTGTTGGAGATTATATGTAACAATATATTGTTTGAATTCTTTGTAACGTATATTGTTTGAATTCTTTGTAACCGTAAGTTTGAATTCTTTGAAACGTATATTGTTTGAATTCAATTCTTTGTAACCGTAGGTTTGAATTCTTTGTAACGTATATTGTTTGAATTCTTTGTAACCGTAGGACTGTTTAGATAGAGTATTTATTTGTTTTAGTCTGTTACGTTGTTACCATTTATTGTATGTTCGCCTATTTAAAGGCTACCAATGAATGAGATAAACACACAGTTGAAATATCAAGTTTATCTTGGTATCAGAGCTATCCTAGTATACACGTTTCCGCATTCCCTTTCAGTGCGAAAGCTGGTTCATTTAACATGGCACCAGGTGGTGGCAGCAAGTCCAAAACAACCGATCCTAGTTCGCCATTTTACTTGGCTGGATCCGACAGTCTAGGTCTCTTGTTAACGACTGTCATGCTGCGTGGTGAGCCCAACTATGACAACTGGGCCAAGCTCATGAAAAACGCATTGAAGGCGAAAAACAAATTGGGTTTTGTGACCGGTTCAGTCAAGAAACCAGGAGAGGATGATGCCGAAGAGTGGCGCGCCTGGGAGATGTGCAATTCGATGCTCAATGGTTGGATTCACAACACCATTGATGCAAAACTTCAACCATTCATCAAGTGCTTTGATGACGTCAAGGACTTATGGAATGACCTAGAGGAAAGGTATGCAGTGCAAAACTTTCCAAGACAGTATCAACTGAAATCCAGTTTAGCCAATATCAAGCAACATAGAGATATCGTTGGTGATTATTACACCAAACTCAGGGCTGTATGGGACGATCTGGAAGGCAGCAAAACTCGCAAGTCTTGCGATTGTGGTGATAAGTGTGCCATTGCCAAAGCAATCGAGGAGGAGCAAGAGCATGATCGCGTTTATCAATTTTTGATGGGGCTGGATGAATCTACATTTGGCAATCTGAGATCCCATATCCTCAACACTTCTCCTCTTCCTAGTGTCAACAAAGTGTACGCAATTGTCACTCAAGAGGAGACCCATCGTAGTATTTCTCGCGTTCAAGATGAGAGGAGTCAGGTAGTGGGATACTCAGCCCAAACCGATTCCATGAAGCAGTCAGACATGTCCATGCAGCAGCGGATGGTTCCTAACAAACCACAAGACAGAATACCTTGCCCTCATTGTGGCAAGACCAATAACGACCCTTCCAAATGCTGGAACGTTCATGGTTTTCCACCAAATAGGAGTGCTGGTTGCAGACGAGGAAGGGGAGGACGTTCGGCAGGACGTTATACGCATGCTCATGCGACGTTTGCAATGGATGCCTCACACCCAGTTGCTGCTAACTCTCTTCCTCCAGACGTCTCCCATTCTACCTCTTCTCAAGTTGCTGCACACTCCGTTTTGACCCCAGAAATTGTGAACAAACTGTTAACATTGGTAGACCAGCCTCAGTCACATGAAAAATTATCTGGTAAGCGTATTCATTCTCAATGGCTCATTGATAGTGGGGCCTCATGTCATATGACAGGCACTTTGGCTTTATTAGCTGACATTACACCTATTCCCCCTCTATCTGTGACTCTACCAAATGGTTCTATTACTTATGCTGCAAAACAAGGCTCGATGGTGTTTAATACAAACTTCATCTTGTCAAATATTTTATATGTGCCTAACTTACGCTGCAATCTCATCTCTGTTTCCTAATTGCTTCACTCCAAGAGCAGTAGCGTTACATTTACTGATAAAAAGTGCATTTTGCAGGACCAAGTGCTGAAGAGGGAGATTGGTTTGGGTGAACTTCATGAAGGAGTCTATGTGTTTCAGCCTTCATGTGCTTCAGCTTCGGCAGTTCAAGCAGGAGAGTCAATTGACTTGTGGCACAACAGGCTAGGCCATGCATCCTATGATATCTTATCTCTGGTTCCAGAAGTTAAAGCTTTGCAAAATAAAGTAGTATGTAAGGCATGTGAAGTTTGTCATCGTGCCAAGCAAACTAGATCAATGTTTCCTATAAGTTTTTCTCGCAGCAAAGAATGTTTTGATTTAATCCATTGTGACACTTGGGGTCCTTATCAAAATTCTTCTTCTTCTGGTGCACGTTATTTCTTAACTGTGGTGGATGACTATAGTAGGCATGTATGGGTTTTTATGTTGGCCGATAAAGTGAAACTTATAATCGGATGTGCAAATTTCTTGCTATGGTTCTGAACCAATTTGGTAAAACAGTAAAAATAATAAGGTCTGATAATGGTACTGAGTTCAAATCTAATAACATGGTGAAACTCTTGAATGAAAAATGTATTTTGCAACAAACAACTTGTGTTTATACGCCTGAACAGAATGGGAGAGTCGAAAGGAGGCATAGACACATCCTTAATGTATCACGTGCCTTACTGTTTCATGCAAATCTCCCTGTTGATTTTTGGGAGGAGAGTGTTCTTGCTGCTGTTCATATAATTAATAAAACACCTACAAGAGTTCTCCAAGGCAGGTCACCACATGAAGAATTGCATGGAGTTAAACCAGATTATACATACTTGCGCACGTTCGGTTGTCTGTCATTTGCTAATACAAGACTGAAACCAACTGACAAGTTTGCTCCACGTTCGCGACGATGTGTTTTCATCGGATATGCAATAGGGCAGAAAGGTTGGAGATTGTTTGATATAGAAGCGCAACAAAACTTTATGTCCAAGGATGTAAAAATTTTTGAAAATATTTTTCCTTTTCGCGAAGCTCCAGTACAATCTGTTTCTGCACCAAATTCTCATGTGCCTACAGAGCCAAATTACTTTGACGAAGGCCAAATTGTCCATGACGGTTCTGATGCATCAAATGACAGCGCAACGCCTAGTGGATCATGTGTTCCTCTGGACGGTAGGGGGAGTGTTTCGCTGGAAGCAATACCAACTAACGAAGTGGCCGCTAGGGAGTCCTCCTTACTAGAAGGAAGTTCGAGTTCTAGTGATGCATCAACCCAACAACAGTTGCTGTAAGCAAATCTGCGTCAAACAGTCACACGCCAGCACTGTACCAGGAAGCAGCCATCTTATTTGCAGGACTATGCATGTCAAGTAGCTGAAACACACACTCCTTCATCTCTCCCTACTCAAACCAATGTCACCTCAGGTACTCGGTATCCTATGTGCAATTATCTTAGCCTCACTAACTTTTCTAAGCAACATCAAGATTTTGTTGCAACTATTGACACAGGTTATAAACCACGTACATTTCAAGATGCTATGAGAGACTCCCGATGGGTGGAAGCCATGAGGGCTGAAATCACAGCCTTAGAAGACAACCATACATGGTGCCTCACGGATTTACCTCCAGGGAAGCGTGCTCTTCCAAGCAAGTGGGTGTTTAAAATAAAATATCGTTCTGATGGAACGGTGGAACGGTATAAGGAAAGATTGGTGATTGCAGGTAATTATCAGATTGCTGGAGAAGATTACAGTGAGACTTATGCACCAGTGGCAAAGATGATGAGTGTACGTACATTGCTTGCAGTGGCTGCAGCAAGAAACTAGGAGTTGCACCAGCTTGATGTTCATAACGCATTCTTGAATGGAGAAATAAGTGAGGAAGTTTACATGAGATTCCCCCCTGGATTGAGTACTGGGTCTAAGCATAAAGTATGTCATCTTACAAAGTCATTGTATGGTTTGCGCCAATCACCCTGAAACTGGTTTTCCAAACTCAGCAGTTCGTTGACGGCATATGGATTTGTTCAGTCAAAAGCTGATTACACGCTCTTTACTATGCAAAAAGGGGAGGTGTCTCTTTCACTTTTAGTTTATGTCGACGACATCATCTTAGCAGGTAATGATTCACATGCTTGTCTTGCAGTCAAGGAGTATCTGAATCAGTGTTTTAAAATAAAAGACCTGGGTAGTCTGAAATATTTTTTGGGTATTGAAATTGCCCGCAGCAAGAAAGGAATATTTTTATGTCAGCGTAAGTATGCCCTGGATATTCTTTCTGATTCCGGGCTCAGTGGATGTAAACCGGCGATTTCCCCTATAGAACAGACTCATCGTCTTGCCTTGGATGACGGACCAGTATATGAGAACCCTGAACGGTATAGAAGACTCATTGGTAAGTTGATTTACCTCACTATCACAAGACCCGACCTGAGCTATGTTGTTCATATCCTTTCTCAATTCATGCATTCACCGCGCCTAGCTCATTATGAGGCTGTTCTCCGGGTTATTCGATATGTGAAGAGAGATCCTGGTCAAGGACTTCTCCTCAAATCGGATTGTGACCTAAAAATTCATGCCTATTGTGATTCGGATTGGGCTTCATGTCCTCTTACCAGACGATCTCTCACTGGTTTTTTTATTATGTTGGGTTCTTCACCTGTATCCTGGAAAACCAAGAAACAAGTAACAGTGTCTCGCTCTTCTGCAGAAGCAGAGTATAGATCAATGGCTGCAGCTACAGCAGAGATTGTGTGGCTCAAGTCATTTCTCACCTCTCTTGGGGTCACTCACTCAAGTCCTATGGAATTATTTTGTGATAACCAAGCTGCTTTACACATTGCAGCGAATCCGGTGTTTCACGAGCGTACCAAGCATATTGAGTTAGATTGCCACTTTGTACGTGAACATATTCTAGCCAAGCATATTACAACAGCTCATGTGCCTTCTCGTTTCCAACTTGCTGATTTGTTTACTAAAGCCTTGGGACAACGCGAGCTTCTTAGTTTTCTTCCCAAGTTGGGCATTTCATCCTTACATACTCCAACTTGAGGAGGAGTGTTGGAGATTATATGTAACCGTAGGTTTGAATTCTTTGTAACGTATATTGTTTGAATTCTTTGTAACCGTAGGACTGTTTAGATAGAGTATTTATTTGTTTTAGTCTGTTACGTTGTTACCATTTATTGTATGTTCGCCTATTTGAAGGATACCAATGAATGAGATAAACACACAGTTGAAATATCAAGTTTATCTGAAAGATTAAAGAATAAAGAAGAAAGATTAAAGAAAGAAAAAGAAAGATTCAAGAAAGAAGAAGAAAGATAAAGAAAGATTCAAGAAAGAAAAAGAAAGAAACAAGAACGCAGAAAAACAAAACAAAAATGAAAAACACAAGACAAAAAGAACAATATAGAAATATTAAAGAACAAAGAAGAAAGATAAAGAAAGATTCAAGAAAGAAAACGAAAAAGAAAGAAACAAGAACGTAGAAAACCAAAAATAAAGAACGATGCAAACTCCCCGGCAATGGCGCCAAATATGACGTGAGCTGTCAAACTCACTCAAATTAATCAGGTTTGTAAAAATAAATATTTGTAATAAAGTGAGCAACTTGAATCGTCTCTCAAGGAATTTGCAAAGATCTTAATCGATCAATTAAAAACAAGAAGTAAAAATGGGGGTTTGTGTGATTAAAAATAGAAAGCAAAAATAACGATTTAAAAATGAAATTATCAATTAAAAGCAATCAACCCAAGAATTAGGATTCCAAGATATCCATCATTGGACAAAGGATTACAAAATCGTGGTTGACCCTAAGCAATTCAAAATCCCTGCAATTGCTTAGGAACCCTTCTCTAAACGATCGCCTAGCGTTTGATCAATACGGCGCATCTACTCGAGCAATCGCGGAGTATCAGCCCGTTTGACTTAAGATCATCGGGTTAATCAACCTAAACATTGAATCTAACATTCAATCACTTACCTTGGCTGCAATCACAGAACTCGAATCCGAGTTGAAGGAAAAGAAACAATTTGGATCAAGATAAAGCACACGTCCTCCGGATTCAACCGCGGAATCCTTAATTCTTGGATTGATTAAAGAACGCTTAGCCTAGCATGGCTAAGTAGAAAACCATAATTGAAATTAAGAAAATAAAGAAGAACAATAGAATAGAAGAGAGAAAACGTAAATTGCAATTGATTCTTGAAACTGTAAAAACATAAACTCTCTAAACGAAAACTAAAACTAAAACTAAAACTAAAACTAAATTCCAAGGTCTTCTAATCATGCCTTTATATAGGCTCTACAAGTCTGACCTAGTATAAAAGGAAATAAAAGATAAATAATATATTTGGGCCTCATAAAGATTGGGTTCCCAATTACAAACTTAAATCCAATTAACTAATTAAAACTGCACCAACTCGTGACAAACTTGGGCTTGATTTTCTACCATAATTCCGTCTGAATTGAGCTTCATTGGATGAAATAGAAATTGTAGCCCTTTTTGTTGGCTGCAAAACTCAACAAGAACGGAGTCAATAGGACATCTTTAGATTGAGATATGGCTAAAATACAAAAGTAGTGTAAATTTGAAAAATTCTGACGAAAATCAATTAAACCCAATTAAAATCTAGAATTCTAATTTGACCCAAAAGACCTTTGTTTAACTCAAATAAATTCTAAAAATACTAACCAAGAGTAATAAATAAGTATAATAAATATCAATTATCACACGTAAAGCGACTACAGAAAAATTGAACCCGTGTGTGTGTGTGTATATATATATATAGGTTTAAAGTTACTAAAGTTACTTTAGATAACTTTATATCTAATGTTCATCCAAACACACACATAAAAGTGTGTGGGCCCATGTTTTTTTTCTCTCTTCTCTTCACATGGGTCCACATAGACTCCACACACATTTTTTATGTATTTTGATGAACATTAGATAAAGTTATCTAAAGTAACTTTAAAAACTTTAAACCCTATATATATATATATATATATATATATATATATATATTGCAACTTTAGCAAGTGTACTAGTCGTACAAGTAATAAAATGATGAATAAAGATCGTTCCCACGAAGATTTGTGTTCAAACATCAACTAACCATATATACTTAAGTTGAATCAAACAAAAAGTTATTGATTGCATTGATAATTGTCACAAGAAATTTGAATTGTATTAAAAGTTGATAAAATAAATAAAATGTGAATTGCAATTTTAAAAACAAGTAGTCATAAATCAATTTCCCTCAAGCATGAATTTATGTAAGAATCAGTCCTATTATGAATTATCTCCCATGTGATGTTAATCAATCTTTTTCTTATCACCAAAATGTAATCACTTACTATCCTGGTTGATACATTAATCAAGAACCCCAATCCCTTGGTGATTCCTTTCTTAATACATGCATTAAACACTAAGATCTTAAAGATTATATCAGAGTCCTAGCATCAATCCCTTGAATACTAGAACACTGATGATGAAATTACTAGTTGTAGAAATAATGTAAACATCCATGTTCTACACTACTCCTTTGATGGAAAGAATTGATACAGGAAACTTCATATCATCACATAAAAGAAACTCATAATATTCAATCGACTATACATAAATCATCCTTGAGTTCCATTGAAATCAGACCACAAAGAACTCTACTCAAACATAGTAAAAGAAATAGCAAGAGAAGAGGAAAGATCAAACTCTATTGTCATGATGGTTGAGTCTTCCATCTTCAATTACAATTACATAAAATGTACTAACTATTACAAGAACTAAATCCTAAAGAATTTGGAAAGTCAGAGAAAGTGAAGAGTCAGATCAGAGGATCTGAGATAGGATAGGATCAAATGTGAAGGCCTTATGCCTTTTATAGTTCTCAAATTACAACTGAAAATCAACCAAAAACTGACTTAGGCGCTAAAACGTTCCTTGTTGGACGTTTTAGCGCTCAACTTTGACGGATGCCCAACTGCTTTTAACTGACTTCAGCGCTAAAACATTCTACTTGGACGTTTTAGCGTGCAAGACCAGAACCTTTTTGCACATCAGAGCGCTAAAACCCTTGAATTGGACATTTTAGCGCTCGAGACCAGAATCTTTTCCAACAGCAGAGCGCTAAAACCTTTGCATTGGATGTTTTAGCGCTCGACACCAGCAATTTTTGGCCTTATTATATAGCAGCGCGCTAAAACGTTCGCTTTGGACGTTTTAGCGCTCAACACTTAGCATTTTCTCATTCTTCAGAATCTTCTTCCTTCTCTCATTTGCTTCTTTGAGCTTCATTTCTGTAAGAACCTGCACCGTTACTTAAGGGAGTTAATTAATTAATTATGTGAAATTAAGAAATAATTCCATAATTAACCCTAATAATTATTATGAGGCTCTAATAATTATAGTAAGTGATTAAGAATGCTGAAAATCACTTTTCGGAAGAAAAGTGCACATACCGATTCTGCTAGTCGGTATAAATGCGTACCAAAAAAGTATCCTGAAAAATTATTATAAGTGCATGATAATTACTAGAATAATATGTAGGAACTCTATCCCAAGCACATGCAATGGGGAAGATGACTTATCAAAACAAAACCTTGTTCATTCAAAAAGAACAACCCATGAGAACCGATTCGTGTGTGGAGAGGAATAAGGAGAAGAGAAAATGGCTCACCTCCTTATGATGGACTTTCGGCTGAACAAAGAACAAAGGAGAAGATGTTGAGTTATTTTCGTCCCTTGCTCATGGAGCTCACGGTCTGTAGCTAGGAGAAGAGGGGAAAAATGGAAGATTATAATAGCAACTAGGTTGGTGGTGTTCTATGGAGATGGTCACGGTTCTAGCAAGGGAGGAAAGGATGATATGTGATTTTTCTTGATGTATTTACTCCATACAGCTCACGGTTTTAGGGGGAAAAGGAGGAGATTGAATGGTTAAGTCTTTGTTCTGGTTTAATAAGATCACTTTTCCACTTATTGCTCTACACATTCAGCGCTTAATGGAGAAAGGATGAAGTTTAGAAGGCTGATTTAAAAGCTACAAGGACCAAAAATTTACTTGGCTCTCTCTCCCTTTCATGCGTACAAGAGGGTGTAAAGGATGTGGGGTTTCTACCCAATAAAATGACATGCAAACTGACTACATTTCTCACATTGGCTGCATGTTAAAAAGGCTGATTGAGATTGCCTAATGGCACAAGCATTTAGATTGCTTTCTGCCCATATCAGCGCATGGAACAAAGGAATGCCAAGTGGCTGAATTTTGCCATGTGTTGATCCTTTGCCAATCATTGACTTCCTTGTAAGATTCTTAAGATAAGGTGAGGATGGATAAAAGATTAGGGCTGAACCTAAGTCCCCCTTGAGGCTCTTGGGCCGACGGTCAAGGGTGTGATTGGGTCCAATAATTCAAGTCCAATGGTTCTACTAACTTATGAACTAGCCCACTAAATTATTAGTTCCCATGTCTTCTAGGTATCCTTAGGCTTTCTATATGTTACAATTAAATTATTCCTATACTTCTAACTAGAGTTTCAAATGCCAAAAATAAATACTCCCCCACAATTATAGTTCAAATAATTCCCTAATTTAAATCAAGTCCACCCTAAAGAAAATATTTATACAATTCGAAGGCAAGTAATCTACCACATTCCTAATTGCAATTTAAATCGATTCCTAATTATATGGGATGTTACATTCTCCCCACCAAAATAGAATTTTGTCCGCAAATTAACTTACGTACTTAATTAAAAAGTTCCGGGTCCCGATTCCGAATGTCATCTTCACGCTCCCAAGTGGCTTCATATGCCGATTTGTTGTTCCAAAGAACTTTCACCAACGGTATCTCCTTGGAATGGACTCGTTTAACTGACCTCTCGAGAATTTGGAATGGTTGAACAAGATACGTCAGATTTTTCTCCAAGTCCATTTCTTCTGGCTGTAATACATAGGATGGATCAGAGAGATATCTTCTCAACTATGACACATGAAATACGTTATAAATTCCCGACAAATTAGGTGGTAACGTCAACCGATAAGCTGATTCTCCAATCCTGTCCAAGATAAGATATGGTCTCTAGTACCACGGACTCAACTTCTTCACTCCCATTCTTCAGCCGAGTCCAGATGTGGGCGTGATTCTCAAAAACACGTGGTCTCCCACTTCAAAAGATAAGGGTTTATGACGATTGTCATAATAACTTTTCTGTCTCGCCTAAGCCCTCTGCATATTTTCCTTGATCCTCTGCACTTGCTCTGAAGTTTCTTGAATCATATCGGGCTCCAAAATACTCCGCTCACCAACTTCTACCCAACATAACAGGGATCTGCATTTCCTCCCGTACAGAGCTTCATACGGTGTCATTCTGATGCTGGAATGATAATTGTTATTGTACGCAAACTCCACCAAAAGAAGGTAGTTGTCCCAACTGCCTCCTTGATCTAAAATACAGGCTCGCAACATATCCTCCAGAACCTGAATAGTGTGTTCAGTCTGGCCATCGGTTTGCGGATGATAAGTAGTGCTTAACCTCAAATGGGTTCCGAGAGCTCGCTGAAAAGACTCCCAAAACCTAGAGGTGAACTTGGGATCATGGTCACTCACAATGCTGGTGGGAACTCCATGCAGCTTCACAATCTCCCGAAGATAAATCCGGGCAAGCTTTTATGTATTATACGTTGTTTGGATACTCAAGAGATGGGCTGATTTTGTCAACCGATCAACAATTACCCAGATGGCATCAAATCCTTCTTGCGTCCTGGGAAGTCTGACTACAAAGTCCATGGCAATACTATCCCATTTCCATTCGGGAATCTCTAGAGGTTGAAGAAGTCCCGAAGGTTTCTGATGTTCATACTTCACCTTCTGACATGTTAGGCACCGAGCTACATACTCCGTAATATCACGTTTCATACCCGGCCACCAAAACGAAGTCTTCAAGTCATGATCCATTTTAGTGGATCCAGGATGAACGGTATAATTACCCTTATGGGCCTCTTGCAAGACTTCCTACTTCAGTTCTTCATTCGGTACTACTACCCGACCTTGGAATCTCAGCATTTCATTTTCATCCCAAACTACATCTCGGAAACCAGCCAATTTATAGAGTAGTTCCTCATCTCTTTGAGCCCTCTTTATTCTACGGAGTAATTCATTTTCTACTTTGATACTACCCAATCTTATACTACGCCTTCTTCTAACAACAGACAAGTTCATATCTCGAAAAGCTTCAAGTAGTTTCAGTTCTTCCATCATCAGAGTTGCAGTGTGGAGAGTCTTCCGACTCAAAGCATCAGCTACAATATTTGCCTTGCTTGGGTGATATTTAAGTTCAAACTCATAATCTTTCAAGAATTCCATCCACCGTCGTTGCCTCATGTTTAGCTCCTTCTGATCAAACAAGCACTTCAGACTCTTGTGATCGCTAAAAAAATCAAACTGCAAACCATACAAATAATGTCTCCAGATTTTTAGTGCGAACACTATAGCGGCCAACTCCAGGTCATGAGTGGGATAATTTTCCTCGTGAGGCTTTAGTTGTCGTGAGGCATAAGCTACGACCATACGATCTTGAATCAATACACAGCCAAGTCCCTTCAAAGACATGTCACAGTACACTTCAAACTTTCTAGTTAGATCCGGAATAGTAAGCACCGAAGCACTTGTCAATCTACCTTTTAGCTCCAAGAAACATTCTTCACAAGCGTCAGTCCACTCAAAAGTCATACCCTTCCGAGTGGGACGAGTAAGAGGCTGTACTAACTGAGAGAAATTCTGAATAAACCTACAATAATAGCCTGCAAGACCCAAGAAACTCCGCACTTCAGTGACGGTCTTAGGTCGTTCCCAATTCATTACTGCTTCAACCTTGCTGGGATCCACAGCAATCCCTTCCGCTGAAATTATGTGGCCCAAGAACTGGACTTCACTTAACCAGAACTCACACTTCGACCACTTGGCATACAATTGTTTGTCCTTAAGGATTTGTAAAACTATCCTCAAATGTTCCGTATGCAGTTCTTCAATGGCGGAGTAAATCAGGATGTCATCGATAAACATAATAACAAACTGATCCAAGAATGGGCGGAAGATACGGTTCATATAATCCATGAATACCGTCGGAGCATTAGTAAGTCCGAACGAAATCACTTGATATTCATAGTGACTATATCGAGTCCTAAAAGCTGTGTTTGGAATGTCCTCCGGTCTGACCTGGATTTGATGGTATCTCGATCGCAAGTCTATCTTGGAAAATACTCTGGCACCTCTCAGCTGGTCTATCAAATCATCAATCCTAGGAAGCAGATATTTATTCTTCACTGTCACCTTGTTCAGTTTACGGTAATCCACACACAAGTGCAGACTACCATCCTTCTTCTTAATAAGAATGGTTGGAGCTCCCCACGGAGAAGTACTGGGTCAGATGAACTCTTTTGACAAAAGCTCTTCTATTTGCTTCTTCAGTTCCCGAAGTTCTAAAGGTGCCATACGATAAGGAGCAATGGAAATAGGTCGAACTCCAGGAAGAAGTTCAATGGGAAATTCTATCTCCCGATGAGGAGGTAATCGAGGAATTTCATCGGGGAACACCTCCTCGAATTCATTAACAATAGGAATATTTTGAAGTTGGTTGTCAACCGTAGTCTCAGACTCAATCAACAACAGATACCCTTCAGCTCTCCGAAGGAGCTCTTTTCTAACTTGCAATAAAGAAATAATAGCAAAAGACTGAATATTACTATCCTTCGAAGGAACAATGACCTTCCATGCTTGACAATCCAAAGTTATTCCGTTCTCTGCCAACCAGTCCATACCGATAATCACCTCAAGACTGAATACCGGTAGGACCACTAAATTCACTGTATAAGTGTTTCCTTCAAATTGCAGAATACAACCCATGCAGATTTCTAATGCGGTACAAGATCCTCCGGCAAAAGTGCTAATTTGCAACTCATAAGGTAACAGAGCCGGGGTGATACCTATTCTCATTGTAGTGTGCCCCTCAATAAAAGAACCTGATGCTCCAGAATCGAAAATCACAGAAAGAGGATAACCATTCAGAATTACATTACCTCGGATCAGATTCAGATATTTTTGGGCTTCATTTGCATCAAGGGTGAACACCCGAGCTTGAGTAGGAGGCTGTTTGGCATTCTGTGGGCAATCAGAAACAAAGTGTCCCGACTGTCCACACCCGTAGCACAAATTGTTCCCGCGTTGGAAAATACCAGCATGATTCTTTCCACAAGTAGCACAAGCATTGGGACCCTGTCGTCCGACTGAAGATTGTCCAGGAGCATTATTCCTCTTGAAGTTTCCAGTTCGAGCTTGCAACTGCAGACCCTTGCCCTTATTCATTCCAGTAATCTTTCTGAAGAACCGGCCCGCTTTACTTCCTCCCTGTGATTGCATTGGCTGTTTGGACAGATTCCTTGCTTCATTTATAATTTCTTCCGCTTGCCGACTCTGATTAATCAAGTCAGGCAGAGTACGATTAGCTGTAATTGGCATGAGCTTGCGGATCTCTAGGTGCAGTCCACTTTCATATTTTTCCACCTGCCACTCTTCATCATAGATGTTCCGATCAAAATTGGCATATTCCATCAGCTGCCCAAACTTAGTAATATATCCATTGACAGTCATGTTATCCTGCCGTAGTGACAGCAACTCAGTGTCTTTCATCCTCCTGATAGACTTAGGGAAATACTTGTCAAGAAAAACCTGTCCGAACACCGCCGAGTCAGATCAACATGTTGAGCTCGTAGCAAAGCCCCCGCACCCGTCTGCCAAGTCAAAGCTTCACCAATCAGCTGATACGAGGCATAGTCAGCCTTTTGAGCTTCAGGGCATCCCATTCGTTCAAAGATATGTTCAATCATCTGCGACCATCTTGATGCAGCCTCAGGATTATCTCCACCTTCAAATGTGGGTGGCTGAAAATTTCGGAAGTCTTTCAACCTCCGTCTAGCAATTTCCTCAGCATTGTCATGCAGCGGGGGTTGGTTCGGATTCTGATGTCTATATTCTCTCCACTCTTGACTCATGTTCTGGACAAAAGTGGCCAACCCCCCAACAGTAGTGATAAGGTCTTCAGCTGCATTGCTAGATCTTCCCTGAGTAGAACCCCGTGTACCTGCCATGTTTTTGCACTCACAATACCACGAAATGAGCTGATCAGATTCACTGCAAGATATACATGACAGCAATCCCAAGTAGGTACCCGAGTTCTAATCAGATAAGTTAACAATGCATCTGTCCCTATCACGGTATAATTCTAACAGTCTATCAAACAATTAGACATTTTATTACACAACAATCATTAAACAACTTAACAAACAATTACACATAGCAAACAATTTAGCCAATAACAAAAAGTTCAACAATCAAACAGACACCATGAACCAAAACCGCTCTGATACCATTTAGTGTGACACCCTCCCTTGTATGCATCCAAGGGAGACGTCTGCTAAGCGGATTAGAGTCGGACGTCGTTGAATTAAGTACTAAAACGTCCTTGTTTCATCACAAAATAATTTCTTGTATTGAATTCTGTTTGTACTAAATAAATAGCGTGAAAATTTACAAAGTACATTGCTTGCTGAATGAATAATTTTCCAGAAAAACCTGTCTGTTTGCAAAAATCATAATAAATCGAGCTTTCAGAATTTTGGTATAAAATTTATATAATCTGAAACTACACATCTGGGGCTTCGTGTGCATATAAATTATAAGTGAATCGGAGGTCTGTAGCCCCCGAAACAGAACTCGCAAGGTGCTCGTTAAATCTATTTATAAATCAGCACTTGAAACGTTCAGAAATTGTTTTTCACAAAACGTTACCAGAATCTCCCAAATTACAAACTGACCATAAAATCTTAAAAATAGCACAATAAAAACATGATTCCAACAGTAGTCCATCCTTCCAAAATATTACACCCATATAATTGTTGCGGATCTAGCAAGTGCACTAGTCGTACAAGTAATAAAATGATGAGTAAAGATCGTTCCCACGAGGATTTGTGTCAAGCACTGACTAACCATATGTACTTGAGTTGAATCAAACAAAAGTTCATAGATTGCATAGATTTCTTGTCACCATAAACTACACTGAATTGAATTAAAACTTGATAAATAAATAAAATGTAAATTATAATGTAAACAAGTAGTTAGATGTCAATTTCCCTCAAACATGAATTTATAGATGAACCAATTTCCATTATGAATTATCTAATATGTGATGTTGATCAACCTTTTTCTTATCATCTCAAGATGTAATCCCTTACTATCCTGATAGACACATTAATCAGAAACCCCAATCCCTTGGTGATTCCTTTCTTAATACATGCATTAATTACTAAGATCTTAAGATCACATCAGAATCGTAGCATCAATCCCTTGACTACTAGAACACTGATGATGAAGTTGTCAAAAATAAAGAAACAATGTGAACATGTATGTTCTACACTATTCCTCAACATGAAGAATCAATCAAGATAACTTCATACAATCACATAATAGATAAACAAAACATCTAATTAACCATTCATAAATTCAAACTTGAGTTCCATTGAATCAAACTACAAAGGACTCTCCTAAGACATAATTGAAATACAAACAAGAGAAGAAAGATCAAACTCCATTGACATGATAGTTGAGTCTTCAATCTCCAAGTGCAATTACATAGGAAATACTAACTATTACAAGAACTAATCCTAAAGAATTTGGAAATTCAGAGAAAATGAGGAGTCAGATCAGATCTATGAAAGACCTGATCTGATCTCCCTTCTCCTAGTGTGATGGGAAAAGTCAGAATGAGATATGATGGATTGGATCTGATTTCTGGAATCTGTCAGAATGTGAAAGCCCCTTGTCCTTTTATAAGTTACAAATTACAACTGAAAACTGACATGGGCGCTAAAACTCTCATTTCTGGACGTTTTAGCGCTCAACCT